AAGTACAGGTCCATTTACCATTAGGACAGAGTGGCGATGGCAACATAGCATGCTGACAGCAGACAGCAAGTTCACAGCACAGACATCAAACTCAGGCAGAAGCAAGGGCTTAAAGACTCCCTCCAGACATCTATTTCAACATATACAAATAGTCTGTTTGGAACAATAATGTGTGTCTGATATGTTTATAGTATAATTTCCACATTAAAATCCTTAAAAATGGCATATTCCTTCTCTCATTAAAAATGCCAGAACACATGAATATGAACATTTTGTATCAGTGTTCATATGTGCACTAGTGGCTTCAAGTTTCTATATCACACTACTGGACCACTTCCTCAACTAAAAATGAAATGCATACTATAACAATGGATTTCTTTTATGTTTACTGTTCCAGAAGTCCAGTGCTGTTACAGTCAGTTTCCTGTTAGAGTTTTCAATTCACAGTTTAAAGAGACTATGCCACTGTTGAAATAAAATTATAACCTTCTTCTTATTATTATCTTTAAGTCACACAGTGTCCCTTTCAAGTGGCAAGTTAGCATGATGATGATGATGAAATAAATGATGAAAGATGAAAAAAGAGAATGAAAACTAAATAAACATCTCTCATACAGTAACAGTAACACTGCAGTAAACAGCTATTTGTCATAGTTGGAATGAAATATCTCACACATTATCACTGTATAATTGTAAAACTTTTAAAGTCAAACTCATTGTGAAATAATATAAATTCTAGTATAAAATTTCCAGGTAGGGTTATAAGGCACTTTTCATACGCTTTAAACACACCTTTGGCCCCTTAACTGCTTTTTCTGTCACTGTGAGCTAAATCAAAGCTAAAGCCCTCGAAAACAGAGCCATCAAAACCACAGAAACCACCTCCTCCAAACACAGGAGGATTTACACCATTTCTGCTTTCTGTCTCTCTGCCTGCTGCTCTCCTTTCTCTCTCAATCATTATACAGCCGTGCAGTCAGCCTTCTGCACGGCATAGCTTTTACTGTGTATGCTGTCTAATAAATCAACTTTGATTATGAGATAATTTCTCATTTTATTGTCATTATGATTAGTAACAGTGTTAGCAAGATGTTCTGACCACTGTATTTGTAGTTAAGGTAATTTGTGATGAAAAATCCTTAAAGCAAGCATAAAACTACATAAGCAGAACAAAATAACACGTTTTTTGTGCATATGTTAAAAATAAATTAATAACATTTAATTTCTTATAGGACACATATCCAATACTGTATGTGCTTGCAATCAACAATGCATACTCACAACATACTAGTAAATAATGATCTAAAATTAAACATATAAATACTGACAAATGCCTCTACATATTAAGTTAACCATCGAAACCAACCAAAGTACTGCACTACAAACAGTTCAGTTCAATTCAATTCAA